TCAGGATCTTAATTATCATTGTCATGATCATGACACTTATGCATAAAGACTATAAAATAACTTTGAMTCGATGAAAACAATTTCTAAACACTATTTTGTTAATGATATTATATATTGACTTATATTAGACTGATTCCATAAGTCGGTACCAGTTCCCTYTCTGTCGAATTTTTCTTTCGCTCAGCTACTTATGGAATCAATCTTGGGGATTGGATATGGAAATACTTTACCCGCCAGGAACGCCTCTCCGATAATGCGGGTGTATAACGACTGATCATTTTCGCGCGATTATCATTTGACTTATTCCTTTTGTCGGATTGTTTGCTTGGGCTTCCTGCAAAAAAAACAAACTACGGAACGAAATCTGCGACTTATGGAATTAGTTTAGATAATCCTGACCTGTTTTCGCTCGTAATATATGGTATAGACTGATTCTCATAAGCCTNCAAAATACTTCTACTATCCAAATATCACCATAAAACGAATTTCAGATGGTTGAAAACTGCTGTTTTAGCATTTAAAGTACTTAGGAAAGTGAGATGGTTAAAGATCATTCGAAACACACAGTACAATTTATATATTTCCAGTRAACTGGAAATAGYCACCTTGTGAGCTCCAAAGCATAATGGTGCACACTGGGCCTTTAAATCAGTACTAATGAATAATTTATACATTCAAAATAAAGTTTGTTACTGTAACAAACTAAACAAAAAATTTATCTGGTAGACATCAGCTGACCAAACAAGAAAAATATGTAACAATAACAAACAATAACATTTTATWAAAAAATATATGATGTCACCAAAATGCTTAAATGTGAACAATGCAATTATTTCAATYCAGTAGATTACAGTGTCATGCAATCACAGTTCTCCAAATGAACAGGATGCATGCCTGAGTGCTACCTTCATGGCTTGTGAGAAGTCTCTGTAGTTTTCATGTCTTRTTGGAAGTTTCAGAACATGAAAGCAAGAATTTGCATCTGGCAAAACTTCATTGTGGTACTGTACACTTATCTTGGGAGTGAGTCCAAGGATAGGTATGTTCTCTTTTGCTGTTGCAAACTTCAGYAACAGACGAAGTAATTGGACTTCACCAYCCATGGAAGGAATCTCCTCTAAAAAAAGAGTTACGAAAAGTTGAGTGCTTGCACTATGGAAAGAGAATTAATCTCATTTTATATAGCTTTCTCCATATAAGAAAGGGTTTCTA